GAACAGGAATGAGATCCACCTTGCATTACAGTTGCCATGATTACATTCCCTTTGGCACAGCACCAAGACCCATGCCTGGAACATAGAGACCTACAAATGACTCATGTTCTATTTGTGTCTAAAATGTCACACAGAATTGAACACGATAGAAATTCAAGAAACTCAATAAACTGGTTTAAGAAAATACCAAAGAAACAAAAGGAAAGTAACTCACTTAAGGACTCCTAGCAGAAAGAACAGGATCAAAAGCAGACAGTGGGAGCTCGGTATACATAATGAAGCTGGCATTGTGTATGCTGAAAGATTTGTCAGCAAACCACATCTTTCATAGGTCACAGCAGTGTGGTAGGTATCTCCTACCCTGCTTTCTGTAGCCACCTTCTTTTGCTGCCTTCCACACAGGGAAGGAGGTCTTCCTTCAACTATGGAAATGTCCAGTAGTTTCATCACCTGTCGCTACTTAAATATTCAAAGCTCACATTAAGTTGAAAGTAAGTTTTCATTGGCACCAATTTTCCACGGGCCTTCCCTGTCCCTTAATGAAGAATCCATCTGAAAACTACAAATATGCCTGAGATTTCTCATTTCAGAACACCATCAACGCCTGGTCACAGGAACATTACAAAATCAAATTTGAATTCAGAGTAGAGAAAACAGTGTTAAAGTGTGACAGGCTTTTTGTTGGCTCTGTGTGTTTTTAAAGAAACCAGACGCTCCTGTTTCTCCAAAATATAAATAAAACACAACCCAGAGATGCTTGCTCTGAACATAACTTAACCATATCAAGTGTGTACTGGGCTACAAGGAACAAAGAACTAAAATTCCCCTTTAATAGCATGTTGTATCTCACAGGAGAGTTACACAGTACGCCGTCTCCTGAAATTTCTTCTGCTCTGGCACAATCCCTACATTAGGGAACGCCATTATCCCCTTATCTCCTTTACCGCTTTTCTGGCAGATTCTGCCAACATTATGAGCCACCATGAGGTCTTGTTCTGTAGAGTTTGATTTATTAAAAAATAACAATTGCACCATGAAAACTTTGTTTGCTGAAAATGAAAGTGAAAGAAAAAAACCAAAACCTCATCACTCCTCCAGTTTATTAGAAGACCCTAAAAGGAGCGTGAAGGACTGAGGAAGGCCGAGCCGCCGGTTCTCTTCTCTATGCATACGTGTCCCCCTTTAGAAGGAGGACCGCGAACAAGCCAGGCTCCCACTTGTAGTACTCGAAAACGAACAAAACAGCCAGTGTATCCCAGCTGAATGAAATGTTCTCAATAATGATGACTAACAACTTGTAATGGATTCAAATTAGCTAACTAGAAAATCTTTGTTTAAAGTCCCTCATTCAGAAGATGGCTCAGTAGTAGCCCAAGCTGCTGTCACCCCAGGCTGTAGACAGGAGCCAGAGAGGCAGCTAGTTAGGTGTACACAGTGACAATGAGGCGCCACCACCGGACTGCTGCTCCGTGTGCAGTAGTGCACAGTGCACACTCACAGAGATCTAAGACACGGACTTCTCCATGTGCAGTAGTGCACAGTGCACACTCACAGAGATTTAAGAGGCGACTGCTCCATGTGCAGTAGTGCACAGTGCACACTCACAGAGATCTAAGACACGGACTTCTCCGTGTGGAGTAGTGCACAGTGCACACTCACAGAGATTTAAAGGCCAATTCAGTCAGCACCTGGGATGTGGGGAAAGGAGAATCAGGTGTTCAAGGCCAGCCTTGGCTACTTCGTGAATTCCAGGCAAGTCTGGGCTATAGAGTGACAGCCTGTCTCAAAAATCACACTTCCCAATGTCACAGGTTAAGGGAAAACTACAATAATTTAAAACATTTGATATTAATTTGAATCTTGCTCACTCTTCATTGTAAGTATAGAGAGCAAAAAATTAGTGGCAAAAACCCTGACTAATCTAAAACTGGACAATGGACTGTGAATAACGTCTTCTGAGCAAACCAGACACCTGCTTTAATCAGCACATCGCCCTCCACAGTATGGCTTCTAGTTCTGTGGACCTGCAGGTATGATCAAACTGTAGACACTAAAGTAGGTAATGTATATACACACACTGACATTTTTACCAACTTGTTAGAGCTGATGTTCCACTGTGCTTTAGTTTCTATTAATATTCTATATTTAGATTTAATTATATTAACCTAAAGTCATCAATCTGGTCGTTTGAAATAATACATGTACCTTCTTCAATAATTTGCCCCCCAATCTATGTCACTATCTTCAGTTGAATAAAACTAAGTATGGCTGACTGCAATGAGATGTCAGCTCTGTCACCAACGTGATGAGAAGTAGGACTCTGCTTCATGAGCACTGACACCCCCACAAGGACATCAGTACTGCCACATCCTCCTTCTGAGACTTCTACAATATAACAATCCGTCATCATGCGGAGGGCGGCTCACCAGAATTATTGAATGTGAAAGAAACACTCAACTGTTTGAGAGAGAACATCTAAGTGCAACCACAAAAATGGATCTAAAAATAGGCAGTTATGTTCAACAGAAAATTCAGGTCCTATAAGTGATGTATGTGTGAAAGACATCCATTTGTTACTAGAAACTGACCCTACAGCCTCGGCAAATATGCAGATACATGCTTACGTATGACAAAAATAAAATTAATGCTGCTACAGTGAACGGAAAAAAACCTAAATGCCCATTTATTAAAAACTGATGTATTGCCATCAAGTGATGGCGCACACCTTTAATCCCAGCACTCGGGAGGCAGAGGCAGGCAGGTCTCTGTGAGTTCAAGGCCAGCCTGGTCTTACAGATCAAGTTCTAGGACAGCCAGGGCTACACAGAGAAACCCTGTTTTGAAAAACCCAAAAAGAAGGAAAAAAACATGACATATTATTTTAAGAAAATAAAATGTTGCACTTATATAATTCTTCACTAATGTGGCAACACCATAATATAAAGTTTAAAGGGAAAAAGCAGATTAAAAACAACATGTACATTATGAACAGCACGCATGGGGAGAGTGCAAAAGCTACCACCAGAATACAAACGGTGGTTTTCCCTCACTGAATGGGGACAAAAAAAGCTAATTTTAACTTTCTACAAAAATTATTAATACAGCTTAAATTTAAAAGGCACATATATTTTTTCTTTGAGACTACAAAATATTCCCTTCATGTTGGAAAAAAGTACATTTATTTTTAATATCATTGTTCCTTTTAGGAGAAATTATCTCAGGAAAAATTCGTGATGCTATAAATTCAGAAGTATTTATCACAGCAGTGTTTATTATAGTAAATACAAGTAATAAACTAAATGATCAATAGTGAGTTTATTACATTATAAAATAACTATATACTAAAGTAGCATATTATAAAACAATTAAAGATTGGTGAAACAAGATCTTGGGGACAAAAAGAAGGGAAGGTTATGGTGATGTGGTCAAGGCCACAGTGATGAGTTTGTGTGTCAAGTGACAAACTACAGCATGTCCTGGTTATCTGAATTGTCAACCTGACAGAGCCTAGAGTCATCTGAGAAGAAAGGCTCACCGCAGGGATTTCTCAGCTCATCCTGGCCTGTGGGCATGCTTATGGGGGTTATCTTGATTATTAATCGATGCAGGAGGACGACAGCTGTGGACGACACCATCCCATAAGCTAGCTAAGCATGAACCTGGGAACAAGCAAGCAGTGTTCCTTCATGGTTTTTGTTTCAAATTCTTGTCTTGAGTTCCTCTCCTGACCTCCGCCAATGAGGGACTGTAACCTGGAAGTGTGAGCCAAATAAATCTTTCCCTCCCCCAAGTTGCCTTTGCTCCGTGTTTTATTGCAGCAACAGAGTATTAGAACATAGTGGCATGCTTGTAATCCCAGTACTAGGGAAGGAAAGGTGTGAGGATCAGGAATTCAAGGCCAGCATGGACTACATAAGATCCTGTCTCAAAACAACCATATTTAAAAATTAAGATAATGATGCTTGGTGTGGTGACTCATATCTGTAATCATGAAGCAGGAGCAAAAGGATCATATGTTTCAGGCCAGCCTGGATGACAGAACAAGTTCAAAGTCAGTCTGAGCTATGCAAGAGACCTTGTCTCAAAGCACCAAGGGGGTGGGGATATGGCTCAGTGGTATCTGTGTACTGTTCAGCTTCCTTTCAAACCATTTGCCTTTGTTTTGAAAATTACGTAGTGGCTGGCAGGACATTTCAGTGGGTAAAGGTACCTGCTGGTGCTGCCAAACCCGACCACCTGTTTGATTCCTAGACCCACCTGGGGGAAGGTGAGAACCTATTCTGATTCCTACTCATGCACTCCAGCATGCAGGCACCCACAGACATATGTGCATATGAGCTAAATAAAAATCTAACAAAGCTTGCTTTAGAAACTACTTTGCTATATGCTTTGTAATATATTTCAAGGTAAGTATTCAATGAAGCAATCTATCTAGTTACGAAAATATAACCTAAGATCAGACGGGGAGTGGCTGCTCTGCAGATGAAGTCCTGAGTCTGGATCAGCAGCACCCATGCGAAAGGCAGGCATAGTGACAAACATTTGTAATCTCAGTGCAGGCAGGGGAAGACAGGAGGATCCAGGGCCTCAATGGCTAGCCAGCCTAGCCAATCAGTAATCCAGGCTCAGTGAGAGACCCTGTCTCAAAAAATGAGGTGAGGACCAACAGAAGAAGACACTGGATGTCAACCTCTGGCCTGCACACATGACAAATGCATAATCACACACATAAGCACACACATGCATACAACATATATACACACAGTTTAAAACGAAACACTCACTTATGCATATAGAAAAAGACAGCTGTATGGTAGATCCAGGCCAACATGAATGCCTGTGGCACTGGGTCATATCCCAATAGCAGCCACCAAGACTGAGCTGTGTTCCCTACTTTACTGAACAACCAAATACCTTGCACCACACACTAGCTTTCTTTATCAGCTTTCCTACTGCTGTGCCAACACGCATTTTGTTCGTTTGAAGTCTTTAAAACCAACCTGCCATGGTCTTTCCCAGTCCAGTGGAATAGGAAATGCTCCAAGCCATGCGCCTATAAAACTTGAAATTGTAGTGATCTGAAGACTGTTCTCCCAAATGGATGTAACTCTGCAAGACACAAAACACAACTTATTGGCAATTTATATTATAGCAACTAGAAAAATCACACAAGCACTAGCACAAATTGATGCTACACATATTTCTCACCCATTTGCATAACCAACACAAACTGGTATAGAAACATGAAGATACACATGTATTTCCACTTAAAGGTACTGCGTGTGCACTGTGAGAGGAGACAGTCCCAAAGAGTGCTGTAGTAACAAGTATGTTTTCGTATCACACCTCCTGAGTCCTTCCCCACAGCAACGTTCATTTCCAAATGATTATGTTCCTCTCCAGAAAGAGTCTGTGCAGGCCCACACACACACACACACAATTTTATCTTAAAGTGCATATGCATATCTACATAAATAAAATGTGTATATATATATATATATATATATATATATATATATTTCCAAGTAAGATTTAAATGCATCATGCTCTAAGCCAATGTAGCTTTGTTCTCTGCATGAATAGCTATAACAGCAATTCACTGTATGGATGGAGAATAGTTTTCTCAACTCATCTTCATGCCATATTCTATTCAATATGACTGCATCTGGTGCAAGTCGGGAAACAGGCTGGAGAAGTGGGTCAGAGTTCTATACAACTTCAAGCCAGTGGTGGTAGCTCACACATGTAATTCCAGCACAAAGGAGGCTGAGACAGGAGGAATACTACAAGATCAGGGTTAGCCTGGACTATGCAGCAAGTTCTAGTCCAACCTGGGATATTGTTAAATAATGACTTGAGTATAGCAACAACAGCAAAAACAAACAAACAAAAAACCCTAGGAAATACTGTTCTAGTCACATAATTTACTAATCGAAAATTTATAAAGCAATGGTTTTGGGGCTAGTCAGCATTACATATTTATCACCAGACATATTAGAATATTTTGATCACTATAAAGAGACTCTTCATTCCTACGCAACTGCTCTCCTTTCTCCTTCCCCACAGCCCAAAGCAACCGAGTGACTTTATGTCTATGGATCTGCCTATTCTAAGTATTTCACCTCAGTGGGCTCAACTGACATGAATTCTTATGCTAATTTCTTTCACTTAGATCTTTTCAAGGGTCATCTATGGTGGAGCATGTATAGACACTTCAATCATGTCACTGGATCATACTCCCTTGAATGGACACTAAAGATTTTATTTCTCCAACCAAAAGGTGGTTAGCATCTGGATTGTTTCTACCTTTTTTTTTTTTTTTTTTTTTTTTTTTTGGCTATTAAAAAAATGCTGCTAGGAACATTTGTGAACAAATTTCTGTATGGAAACATGTTCTCATCTCTCTTGGGATTATACCTAGAAGGAAATAGCTGGGTCACCTGCTATTTGAGGAACTGACAGTTTTCCCAAGCAGTTAAAACATTTGATTTTCCCACGACTTGAGGGTGAAGGTTCCAGTTTTTTACATCTTCCTAGTTATCTGTGGATTCCAGTCTCTAGCCAGTGTGAAGTGGGAGTATCTCAATGCAGCAGACTTATGGTTCAGGCCGCATTCAAGTCATGCTACAGAAGTCACTGAAGGACTGTAATCACAGCAACCGTATGATCAGAGCCACTGGTGCCAACAAAGATGCTCCTCACAGTTTCACTATTCCGCACACTGTAACCAACTTTTGCTTATTAAAATAAAAAGTACAAACATCCAAGAGGATTTCAGTTTTGATTGTTCAGCGTATCCATGATTGTTTGTGATCCTATATACTATAAACATCAAAAAATACGGAACCAAGACCTATACAAAACTATAAAAATTCTGCAGTCTGTATTTTAAGTGAATGCATTTATCAAAATAACTTATGTAACTTTTTATTGCTTTTATTGAGCTATATATTTTTCTCTGCTTCCCTCCTTTTTTCTCCCCTCCCCTTCTACCGTCTGCCATGATCCCTATGCTCCCAATTTACTCAGGAGATCTCGTCTTTTCTATACCCATGTAGATTAGATTCATGTATGTCACTCTTGGGGTCCTCACTGTTGTCTGGGTTCTCTGGGATTGTGACTTGTAGGCTAGTTTTTATTTGCTTTATGTCTAAAAGCACTTATGAGTGAGTACATATGATATTTTTCTTTCTGGGTCTGGGTTACCTCACTCAATATGATGTTTTCTAGCTTCATTCATTTGCCTGCAAATTTCAAGAGTTCATTGTTTTTTTCTGCTGGACTCCATTGTGTAAATGTACCACATTTTCCTTATCCATTCTTCGGTCGAGGGGCATTTAGATTGTTTCCAGGTTCTGGCTATGACAAACAAAGCTGCTATGAACATAGCTGGGCACATGTCCTTGTGGTACGGTTGAGCATCCTTTGGGTATATACCTAAAAGTGCTATTGCTGGGTCTTAAGGTAGGTTGTTACATAACATCTTTAAAGTCAAAGACAACAATTAGAAGTCTCCTCCTCTACCTGATTTCTACACCCTATAGAGATACTTCCAATTAAACATATATCACATATAAATATATATTTATATTATATATAAAGTATACACATATTGTATGCCTTATATTTCAAGATGTCATTACTTTCTGCATTTTACTGTAGAAGACATAGCTCCTTTTATCCACAAGCTTCCGTGTCAACATCTCCCTCTGTCATCTCTTCAATACTAAAACTGCCCCCTTTAGCTGAATGGATAACAAGTGTTTTTGTAATAACCATAGAGCAAACCACAATTACACGTCTGTTCTCTTAATAAGTACAATTTTTAATTTTCCTCAGGTGCTAAGAGCTGTTTCTCCCCCCCCCACACCTGTTTATCTCCGTCACTAACTCATCTTAAACACTGAAAAAGAAAACTATCTCAGTAGTACTCTAGATGTTTGCTTCCTCTCTCTCCTCCCCTTTCTCTCTGAAGTGTCTCACTTGCTCCAATCTGGTTGCTCTCAGTCTGCTGACAGCTCAGTCCTCTGAGGATCCTGCACTATCATCTTGGAATTTCCTTGTCTCGGGACTGCTGCTCTGGGATCGACTGCCTGGGTTCAGAGTCAGATCTTGATCCATTCTCTCATTCCCTCTCTCCTCCATCCCCCATCACCTTTCCTTCTCTTCTCAAAAATAGGTTTGAAGAGATACTTTACATCTGAAAATGACTTTATTATGACTGCCACAAATATTTGCCTCAGATTTTTGGAAAGCACTGTTCCCTTGGGTCCTGGTTCCCACCGAAAGGTTCAGTATTCTTCCACTCCCTTTCCTACAAGTAACATGCTTTCCCCACTCTCTGGAAGATTCTAAGCATCTCGTTACCCCTGGTTATCTTACATTTCACATACAAAAAAATCATTTTGTCTGAATAAGAATTTTTTCCAACTCATCTCTACTTGTGTTTTTTCTATAGTATTTAGTTCATTTTCCAAGAGCTCCAATACTGCTGAGTATTCCCTTCACACACACAAAAAGATGCGGTTATCTTCTGTTCATTCTATTGTCTCTTTTATTGTGTCTAGATTTCATTTGAGGTTAGATGGTGTAAGCCGAGTTTCCTGAAGGAGGAGAAGGGTTGCAGGTAAGAGTAGATTCACTGGTGTGTAGAGGTTCATTTAAGCTTTATCCCCTGAGGAAGCTGAACATATCGCAACATTACGGTTAGCTGGAACAGCTGAGGCTTTGAGGGGCACAATTATATTTCTCCATTCCTCTTCTACCATTGAACAACTTGTTTGTGTTCCTTTACAGCGTCTTCTGCTCTACACCTCTAACTCATTCAAGTATTCTCTTGGTGTAATGAGCCTCTTTCCTAACTTCTCTTCTTACAACAGAAGCACGTGGAGTCTTAGGTGTGAGCCTCCCTTGTCCTTTCTCCATATCTGTCATATGTTCTCTAGTAACTTCATGCTTCCCAACCCTTTCCTTACCCTTCATTTATTTTGACTGGCTCAAACCTTTCCTTCACACAAAATTTGATTTTCCAACTTACTTTAGGCTTCTCAATATTTCTTTCATTGTTGTTTTGTTTTTGAGACACTGTCTTCCTATGTAGCCCAGGCAGTCCTAGAACTGACTATGTAGACCAGGCTTTGACATCTGCCTCTGCCTCCGAAGTGCTGGGAACAAAGGTGTGCACCATCCAGCCGCTTCTTGACATTTCTAAAATATGTTTTAAAGATGTTTTTTAGGTTTTGAATTTATGGCACTGATTCTGCAGTCTGGTCTCCTTCATTTTGGCTCATTTTCTCATCTTTGCTCTTTTTATTGAATTAATATACTTTATAACATTTTTCTATGATAAATTGTGTGAAAATGTCTGGTTTTGGTCCAGGGTCATGTTCTCCTGGAACACATTATTCATCTTCCTGTGCACATGTCCCCCCCCCCCCCATGACACCCACCCTCACAGTTGTGTGCCATGTCTATTTCTCTTTCTCACACTTTCCACTGAAAACCTGTCGAGGCTACCTATTTGCTCAGAAATATAACAAATGAATTCTCTTTGGTGCTGTCTTTTCATCTTAACTGGCTCCAATTTTTCCTGTTGTGAATCTGCATTTTGAATGCTGGGTGTTATTTTCTACCTGTGGCTTTTGTTTTTGCTGTTTTTTATCTTAAGGCAAAGGGAAAGAATGGTGAAGACCAAGGTAGATGCTACCTCTGTGACTCAACAGTAATACTCAGCTAAAGTGGAGTAAATGGTAGCTCCATGGTTCACACTTTAAAAACTCCTGACCAGGGTTTATACATCCTTTTAGAAACCAGACGGAGCCACTGTGGAGCCATCTGTGTCCTTGGCAGGGGCCCAGGAGAAAACAGCTCTTAGATTCATAAAAGACAAGGAAAGCTGACAATGAGTCAGAGAACGGCTGTTGTGTTGGTGAGAAAATCTATGTAGCTGTATATACATTCTTCACATTGGGACCCGAGTCTGACAGCGTCAATCAGATCCCTGTGCTCTACTCCAGCAGCCTAGTTCACAAACCCTTGCCTAAGTTTCGCTGGAACAAAGATGTGCATCTCCTTATTTACAGCTGGGAAAATCTGATAACTTTTAACAG